GGGCTATATTCATTAATATTTTTGTGGAGCGGTGGAGGAGTTAGGAACGGTTTTTTGTTGTGGTGGTGCTAGGGATTAAACTCAGGGCCTTGTACATGCTATAGGGATTGAACCCAGGGCCTTGCACATGCAAGGCAAGCACTCTACCTAAGAGCTACAAACCCAGTCTTAGGAAAGGCCCATTTATTTATTTATTTATTTGTTTATTTATTTATGCAGTATTGGACCAGGAGTGTTCTACCTCTGAGTTACACCCTCAGCCCTTTTTCTTTTTTCTTTTCTTCTTCTTCTTCTTCTTTTTTTTTTTTTAATTTTGAGACAGTGTCTTGTTAAGTGACTGCAACTGTCCTTAAACTCGTGATTCTCCTGCCTCAGCCTCCTAAATTGTTGGGATTACAGGGGAGGACTACTTTAATAAGGAAAGGCTTTTTCAAGGAGCGGGCATTTGGACCACCTTGAAAAAGGAGGAGGAATTCCACATAGGCACAAGGAAAAGGCAGAGTGAATGGCATGAACTAAAATGGAGAAATGTGTTACCAGTGCTGGGAGATGAGACAGGAAGAGTCCAGGGCAGACACAGAACCTGTGGTGGGCAACTGCAGAGCAGACAGCCTGCTAATCTGAACGAGGGCCACATTTTTTTTTCTTTTTTAAAGAGAGAGAGAGAGAGAGAGAGAGAGAGAGAGAGAGGGGGAGAATTTTTTAATATTTATTTTGTAGTTTTCGGCGGACACAACATCTATGTGGTGCTGAGGATCGAACCCGGGCCGCACGCATGCCAGGCGAGCACGCTACCGCTTGAGCCACATTCCCAGCCCAAGGGCCACATTTTGATGAACATGGATTCTGGTTGAGAAGTCTGGACTTTGTAAGTTTAAGGAAACATCTGAAGTTGGGTTTTTGGGGCAGGCAGGGAAAGGACAATTATGGCTGAATCATTTGGTAGACTATTCTGGCTCCAAGAGGAAGGTGCACCTGCAGGAGGAACTGGGAGCTTACAGACCAGTAAGGAGGCTGAGGCTGCTGTCAAGGGGGCAGTGATGAGGACTCAATGGACTGTGCACGAAATCTGCCTGTGGAGTGGTCCAGGTGACTCTAGGGGTTTCCTTTGGGGTGAAACTGAGATTGGAAGTGTCAGATGATCAGATTGGGAGTGATTGATGGAGATGCTCAGATAAGAAAAACTGTGTTTGGGGGCCCTGCAGTGGTGATAGAGCACGTGGAGAAAGTGCGTGGGAGGCCTGACAGCTGGAAACCAGCATTAAGGGTCAGGTGCCATCTCTTTCCCCTGCCTACTTCTCCAGCCTCAACCCCAAACCTCCCTCAGTCTGCACTCCAGCCATTCAGACCTTCTTCCTGCTCCCTCATGTGCTCTCTCAGTCTGGAACATTCCACATTCTGAGGGGGGTGGAGACAGAAATGCTGATGAGGTAGCAGAGCCTGCAAGTGTCCGCCCTTGATTAGTCTTTGGGGGAAAGGAGCCAGATGGGATGGTAATTTGACAGGAGAGGCAAGAAGCTGCCTGAAGTTGGGAAATGTGTGAGCAGGTTGGTACCGAGGGGAAGGGATGGTAAAGAAAGGGACGCGAGGGAGAGGGGAGGTTCAGGAGAGACCTAACTGAAGAACAAGGAGACATAGAAAAGCAAGTGGCAGTCAGTGAGACCTAGGGCACAAGATGACAAGGGCTGGTTCTGCCAAAAAGAATTAAAAAAAAAAATTTTTTTCCCTCTAAGATGGAAGGGAAGGATGAACACTGTTCTAAATAGAACTTGATTCTTCATTTTAGGACTTAAACAAACAAATCTTCCTGAAGGGCCATACCTTTGCATCAGCAATTTATGATGCCATAAAAATAATTTCTCAGACCATATTTGAGAGGTCCTCATGGAGGAAGGGAGCCCCATTCCTATGTGAAGGGACAGGGGACGCCCTCCAAAATGCAGGGCATGTGAACCAGACAATTAGAGCAGCTACAGGACCTTCACTCCAGAAAATGGGGCTTCCGCAGAGGTCGCTGGGACCCCTACCTCTGAACTGGAGGTTGAGAGCAGGCATCTGGGTCTTCTTACCTAGCAGGTCATTGGGGGAGCAGCACATTGCTGGGTTTCTGCAACAAGAACCTGCCTGCAGCACCCCCCTCCCCGTGGGGGGTGCTCTTAAAAGGGCGATGTTAGCGATGGAGGCGTCAGCCCCATCTGGGCCTGGCACAGTTAGGGCTGCAAGAACGCACCCCCCCCTCCTTTTGCGCCTATTTGGGAGGAGCTATGGGGAACCCCATGCAGGGAGATGACTGGGGGAGTGGAGCAGGCCCCTCATCCTGGCACAGGCTCTGACATGCAGCACATTTCTCTGGGGCCCATCCCAGCTCTGCCTGTCAGACTCATCCTGGGAGTGCAGCCAGGGCCGCCCAGGGACCCCCGTGGGAGGTATGGGGGTTGGGGAAGAGGTGTTCTTAGGACCCAGGGTAAACCGGAAAAGCTTCAGGAAAGGAAAAACAGGGCAGGCAAGTGTCAGTTCCTAGAAATGAGGTTTCAGTCTAGGAGAAGCCAATGGTTGGCCAGCTCAGGTAGACCCCCAAGATTCATGCTGACCCCCCCTAGTCCCCACCCCACGGTTTCCTGGCTCTCTCATATGTGTCTGGAAACCTGGCATCTAGTTGACTCTTTCCTGGTAGAAGCCAGACCAGGTCCCAGTGTCTCCTCTTGCCTGAAGCATCCAGACATGCATCTTGGGCACTGAATTCCTGGGTGTGGGAACCAAGGATTGGTGAGGGACCCAAGGCTCTGACTCACTCCACTGGCTTCTGGGGGTTTGTTTGCTGAGGTAACCTGGTAGCCGAGGTTGGAGATGGGGCAGGTCAAGTTGCCAGGGATGAGGGCATCAGCCGTGGGTTGTGAAGGCAACTATTAGGGTGGAGTCAAGGTTATCTGGGCCTGTTCCCAATTGCTCACCTTCCAGGTGGGTCAGCCCATCCTAAACAAGGCTTGCATCAGCCACAAGCCACTGCTTCAGGAAGAGGAGTCTGGCTGTCATTTCACTCTGGGGGAAGGGAAGCCACACCTTTCCCAATAGATTGAGGTCTTTGCAAGCAGGGACTGTGCCCCTTCTTTTCATAAGCACTGTTCCCAGTGTCTGGCCCAGGGTCAACACTGTAAATGTCTGTATGACCACCTGCCAACATATTTTTGCAGATGAACTGGAGGAACCTCGGCCACAGTCCTACTATCGACCATTCTCTCCTCTGGCTTCAGGAAGCCAGGTGTGTATGTGTGTGTTCTAACAGACATGTTGGTCCACTCAGCAATCTTCCTAGCCCAGCTTCCCAATTGATCACACCAGGAGTCTGCACAGGGTAGACAGGGGAGGGTTTGCATGGGGAGTATGGCTGTTTAAGGTCTGGGCTGTCTTTGAGTAAAGTGCAGGGCATTCAAGCTCCAAGTGCAGCCATCTCCAGAACACTAGCTGGGTAAGGAGTAAGGAGGGGTGGGGGAGGTAAGACCCAGGCCCAGTCGCCCAGGGGCTCAGAACCCCAGTTTCTACCTTCCCACAGCTTTCAGGGCCAAGGAAAAAAGCACAGCTTCCTGCTGGTAGGAGCCAAAGAGCACAGGCATGGGAGAAAGGCTATGACAAGCCTCCTAGACTAGGACTAAGACAGAGATGGGGGTGCCCAATCCACCCAAAAGGGTCTTCTGGGCTTGTACACTGGATGGGAGTGGAGCAGAAATAGCCCCCTGCTCACTGTGCAAGCTGTCTTTCTTCAAACCAAATAGTGTTGGCTACAGGAATGTGAATTTCTGGTCTTCTGAATTACAAATGGGAGCAGCTTGCTCTTTTGTCCTCTTGCCCTGGCTTTGTTATCCCAGAGCAGAGGGCAATGGGCTACATACAGTGTCTGCCTGTGGGCCCCCGGCTGGCATAGCAGGCTAGTCGAGAGAGCCACTGTGGCTACCCTTTCAGGCGCCCCAGTCTTGACAGCGTTTCCAGAAGCAAGATTGATAGGATCAGCCCCAGTGGGAAACAGCACATGCTCTGTCCTGGATACCAAGCTCCAGCAGACCCAGGAAAGTCACTACTTGGGGATTAAGGAAGCTGAGATGAACTGAAGGCTCCCAAGTGATAAATCGGGTCACACGCCAGCTTTTACCTCCCAAAGAAACCCAAGTGCAAAGCCCTGCTGAGGAGCCAGGACTTCCACCTGGACACCTGTCTGTCTCCCCTCCCTTGGCGTACTTCTGCCTTCCACATACAACAGGTATAATCATGTCCCCACCCTACCTTCTGGGACCATCACAAAGATAAAAGGGATCATCCAGAGGAAGTATTTTAACCTCCTAGGACAGAAGCGCTAGACTAACCTAAGGTGTTATTAAAGTCCAGGGATGCAGATTGCAGATGAAAGGCAGCAGGGTAGGAAAGAGCTTGAATACTCCTACCCTAGGGGAAGGGTGCCTGCCTATTAGGTAATGGGGGGAGCTCCTGGGAAGGACAAAACATTCTTCCTACATCCTTCTGTCCTGCCAGCTCTCTGGGGCCTTTGGAGCTGCAGCAACAAGCTGCTCTGCAGTAGGTCTCCCTATTAGGGGACGGCAATAAAGAGAAGCTGCTGTTAATAAGCCCCCAACCCACACTCTTGAAGCTAGGGACAGACTCTTAGATATGTCTCTACCCTGATGCCTCCCAGCCTCCCTGCCCTTCCATGAAGCCCTTCCTAGGGAACACAAGGTGCCAGGAGACCTTAACATTAATTCTGATCTCTAAGCTTTTCTATCTCACTGCTTTTAAGCAGGAGTGAATTTTCAGAGGTGCCTGGCCCTCGTCCTATAAGCCTCTATGTCTAAGACTCTAGGTTTTCACTTCCCCCTTGAGCCTTTACTAAATCTATCCCCACCCTCATCTACCTGCTGAAAACATCTCTGCCTTGCTAAAAAGAGCCTTATTTGGAAGGGGGACCAGGGGCTGGTCCCTGGAGAACCAGCCTGGGAGAAGACCGAGGAAAAGTCTGAAGCCCTCCCCAGTGATGCTTTATTATATGGTTTTACCAGTCAGTGGTAGACCCTGTGCCCATGCAAGGAGACAAGGTGCCTGCACTGTACATGGCAGACAGTTCCCCTTGCAGCTGTGCAGTCAGATGGGACAGGGTGATGAGAGGGTGCTCAGCTCCTGCTCTGGCAGGCTCTGAGATCCCAGCTGACAGAAATGAAGCCCAGCAAACCAGGAAGAAGGAATGAATGTTCAGGCATCGGTGACCTCCAGGTTCTGCAGCCGGCTTTCCAGGGCAACATCTCTGGCTGCCGCTTTCTTTTTGCTGCCCTCGTGTTGCTTCTTCTGCTTCTTTGAAGGCTCCTGGTCAATGGGTGCAGCCTTCACAAAGGGGATCAGTTCTTGGAGTCCTGGGAGGGAAGAGTCAACCAAATGACATGTTGTTTCTCAGAGTCAAAGCCAAGGACCTCAGGGGAAAAGTCAACAAGACAATGATCTCTTTGAACCAAGGAGCACCCACAATAGGCCCTGGTTTAACCTATCTTTTTCTTCCGCAGTCTGAATTTCAGCAGTATTTGAACATCACACTTACATTGGTTACTTCCTTACCCAGGCCCCCTGCACTGTCTAGCACCAGAGGGCAGGCAGAGTTCTGGGGACTGTGAGGGACTGCTATGCATAAGAGTATAAAGACAGAAAAGAGAGAGCAAAGGAGCTGCATGGAGGGCTTTACCTGGTGGCATGAATTCCTTCAATTTTTCGGGCACAACAATGCCCTTCTCTGTCTGGTAGTTCTCCAGGATGGCGCAGATGGTACGGGTAGTGGCACACATTGTAGCATTGAGCATGTGGACAAACTCCACCTGGGAGAAGAGGGTCCCGGAAGAGAAAGTTAAACTCAAACTTCAGCTTGAGAAACTATCCACCATGCCAGAACCCCCAACTACACCTACCGAATTCAAAATAATCCTTCTATTTTCAACTTTTTATTATTCTGTTTAGTATTTACTGCCTATTAGATAACTCTGAGAAGATTCCTCACATCTACAAGAGCGACAAGGGGCAGGTCCCACTATTTTGAGGAGAACTGGTGTATACCACTGTGGCCCCTCTTTTTGGTGCATGACAAACCCCCCCTCAAACAGATCAAGGCCTGAAGACTGGGTTTGAGATGAGCTGATAACCTGACTTTCTTGGACGAAAAGAGGGAAGATGGTGAGTCCAGCTTGTTCTGTATAGATAAACAGGGATGATTTTTTCTCTGAAATTACGGAAAACAAAGCCAAAAAGAAAAAAAGCTAGAATTACGTTGTAGAATAGAGGTAGACTCAGGTATCTACCTAAAAGAACCCAATCCTGACTCAGTGGAAGACATTTCTGATTGCCTTTTGGGTCTAGATTGAGAAACTCAGATTTTTTCATGATGCTGGAAACTAATACTCCCAGGTCTGAGAAAGAGAGTAGGTCTACCCTGTGCTGATGGTGCCACTCACTGCCCACTTCCCTGGGAGCCATCTACCTTGTCCATCATCTTCTTGGTCTGCCCGTATCTAATTCGGAGCCGGCGGGCCTGATAATCTGTGCAATTAGAACAGGAAACTAACTCTCGGAAGGCTCCTGAGCCTGGAAACCAGGCCTCCAAGTCGAGCTTCTTACTGGCAGCATGATTCAAAGAACCTGTAAGGAAAAACCCCTAGAATTCAGGAAGGAGGGATGGTATTTCAGGAGGCCAAGCTCCAGTGAGCCCAAGGAATTCTTTACTTCACATCCCATCCCCAGAAGTGAAATCACGCCCTGACACTCTCCTCACCAGACTCTCCCAAGTGAGAGGGGTGTGATATTTTAATGAATGTGGGTAATGAACTGGATTACAAGGCTGTGTAGCAGCTCAGCTGGTGAGGGTGGCATCTGTGGGATGTGGGAAAGGGAGGCTGAGAAGTTGAGGGGTCCCCTACCTGAGACAATATTCACTATGTGGTAAGGGATCCCCAAAGACTGATAGAACTCTTCGGCGGTAGCAATCATCTCTTCAAACATCTCCCATGACTTGTTGTCATGGGGTGATGAGTATACAAACTGCTCAATCTGTAGAGACGGAAAGAAGTACATGGTGATTAAATGGAAAGACTGGGGTGGATCTATCCTGGCAGTGAAGACCCAGTCCCACACCACTGGGAAACAGGCCAGGTTAGTCCCCAGCAAGAGGGATGGGTGCTAATCTAGACAGGACCACAACAAAAACAACAGCATTGATGGACAGGAATCGTGGACCTTGTCGGCTAAGTGCCTCACACGCTGACCAATTTAATCCTCACAGTCTGCCTAGTGAGGTGGGGCCCATTATCACTGTGCTCTTTTCACAGAGGTAGAAACTAAGCACAGGGAGATAAAGCAACTTCCCATGGTTGCACAGCTGGTAAGTGGTGGAGCTGGCATCAGTCAGGCAGTCTGGTTCCAGTGTTCAAAGCCACTCTACCATGTGCTTTCCAGGCTTTTCCCCACAAAGATACTGGCAACAGAGGAAAAGCTGCAGCCAGAGGCCGTCTCTTCTATGACCCTCTGGACAGGTAGGAAGAAGGCTCCCACTCTTCACTCTCACCTCCTACTCACCTTCTCAAATTGATGGACTCTAAAGATGCCACGGGTGTCACGACCATGGGAGCCAACCTCCTGGCGAAAGCAGGTAGACAGGCCAGCATACTTGATGGGCAGATCCTCTGGCCGCAGCCATTCGTCCCGGTGGAGAGCAGCGATGGGCTGCTCTGAGGTGGCAATCAGGTATTTCTCATCATAGGAGTTGTCATCAGACTTCTCACTGCCTTTGCCAATCACCTGTTGAAGCAGGGACCTGTGCCAATTAAGACTGAGAGAGGACCTAAGCCTGTGCAAGAAACCACAGGAAAGATAGGAGTGATGGGGACATGAAAAATTGTCTTCAATCCCAGTCCAGGACTGGGGAGGGACTAAGTCTGTCCAAAGGAGGCACTGTCACTTATTTAACAAAGAAGACATTTACAAATGATAAGTGGTCAATGATGGCAGATGTGTAATAAACCTATGTTGGTGGCAATATAAATTAATCCAGTCAACAAATGTTTGTGAGGCATTCACCCAGTGCCAAGTTTTTCTGCCAGTGCTGTACAAAAAGAGACATAATCTCTGCTTTCTTGGTGCTTAGAGTTAGTCTAGCAGTAGTAATCCTAAAAAATGCACTTGAGGATTCAGCTGAAGAAAATAATGGGAGAAAAAAAAAAAAGCCACAGGGCTGGGATGTAGCTCAGTGGGCTGGGATATAGCTCAGTGGTAGAGTGCTTGAGAGGCCCTAGGTTCAATCCCCAGCATGGTCAGGGGGCTAAAGACCAATAAAGTTCATTGTAACATTTTTGTATTGGTAGCAAAAAGGAAGCACCTTAAATATTCAACAGAGGAAGAGTTAATAATCCATAGCTACATTCAGTTTACATAACATTATGGAACCACTAAAATGATTATGGAAATGATGTAGTAATAAAGAAAAATGTTTTTGATATAAGGCTAAGTTAAAAAAAAAAAAAAGCTATGTACAGTGTGACTATAAGTATGTGAAAATAACAAGTATAAAAAAAGTCCCAAAGAAAATATTTTAAAATGTTAATTGGTGTTCAGCATGGTCACACATGCCTATAAATCCCAGTTACTAGGGAGGCTAAGGCAGAAGGATCACAAGTTCAAGGCCAGCCTCAATAAAGTAGTGAGACCCTGTCTCAAAAATAAATAAAATAAAATAAAAAAGCCTATTGGACAGTACTGCTTCAGAGAATGAGTAAACCAAGATTTCTATCAGGCAAGAAGTCTGACCCAAAATTCCTCATTATCAAGACCTGGGATTCCTTCTGCCTGTGGATTGAAGAACCACGTGGGTAAGAGATGGAGGAGAAACGGGGAGCTCCTGCTACATAATATCTTATAATCCTTCAGATACATTTCTTTCTAGTTTTCCCTGCAATGGAATTTCTAAAGTTCTGTTATTGATGATTCAATCTTGAGGGTTGAGATTAGAGAAAAAGCAAAAAGGTCAAACAGGTTCTAGCTGATACATGGACACATTCCTCTCCACTGAAAAAGAAAGAAGGGGAGGATACCAAGGCTATACTAATGCTCAGAGTTTAGGGGGAACTTTTTTTCCCAGTGAATCTTGAAGGAAAATATAACTTTGACCTCATTAGCAGGACCAGTGGAATACACTTCTAATTATTAGCTGGGCACGGTGATGAGTGCCGATAATCCCAGCTACTCAGGAAACTTGAGATGGGAGGATTTCTTGAGTCTAGGAGTTTGAGACCAGCCTGGATAACATAGAGAAACCCTGTCTCAAATAAATAAGTTAACTACATAAAATAAAAATAAATAAACATCTCCTTCTATGATAAATATGGGCAAATGAATGTAGCTCAGTGGTAGAGTGCTTGCCTGGAGTGCACAAGGCCCTGGGTTCAATTCCCAGACTGGCAAAACAATTTATAAATCAGATAATCATAACCACACTTGCCAATAAGAGCAGTGTCCCACTTCTGACAGATGAATCTTGAAGGAGAAAAACAAGTGAAAAGTAGACTTTCCATGATGAACAGAAGAAACATTCTAGAAATTCTGAGTGCTTCACAGACTTGAATGCTATAGTTGCCAGAGTCTGTTGATCAGAATGACATTTGAAACTCAACTTGAATCTTGGGCTCTACCTAAGATGGTCCATGATTGAGAGGAGCCATGAACTGGCAGTCACATCCATCCCAAGGCAAATACATCTTGCCCTATTCAAGCCTCCAGTCTACAGTGAAGAGTGGGAAGACATGGGAAGTGGGCTGGGAGACCAGTGCTGCTTCTATCATTTCCTTGTGTTTCTTTTCTAAGCTTCTGGTGATACAGTGTGCTCAATTTAGATACATTCACAAATTACTAGGGAAAAGATGAAAGAACGGGCAGCCACCAGCCACATGTGGCTGTTTACATTAAAATTAATTAAAATTGGGCTGGGGTTGTGGCTCAGTGGTAGAGCGCTTGCCTAGTATGTGTGAGGCACTGGGTTTGATTCTCAGCACAGCATATAAATAAACAAATAAAATAAAAGTCCATCAACAATTAAAAAAAATTTTTTTTTAAATTAAAAATTTGCTTCCTTAGTTGTGCTAGGCACATTTTAAATGCTTAAGAGCCACAGAAATAGAGCATTTCCATCACGACAGAAGTTGGACTGGATAGCATCACTTCAGTATCATAGAGTTAAATTATCCTACCACGCTGCCCCAGGCTACTCACCTTATAAAGTTCTTCGTCAAACTGGCTGAGCTGTGCCACCTCCTGCATGACCTCCTTCCTCATGAAAAATGGGGTGTAAATGGGAGTGTATCCCCGATTTCTCAGGGTGCGGAGGGCATACTGGATAAGTGCCTGTTCCAGGAACACCAGGACCCCCTACAGAAGCAGAGACACAGTACTGTGTGAGAGGGGCCTGTCATTACCCTGTTCATCTGCTAACTGACACTCAGGGGCAAATGGGATTTGTAAATGTAAAGCACAATTAAGTGTACAGTATTTTCAAGTTATTTGGCCATATCCTTTTGGAAGCCTTCCCTGAATTCATCTGCCCTCTGCCCCAGTTAATCAGGGTCTATTGCCTCCACCTACCCATTCTCAAAGCACTCTGGGCTGACTCAAACCACAGCCTTATCACACTGGGTTTTGATCCTTTGTTACTTGTCTGACTGTCCAATTACACCGAGCTCCTCAAAGAGAGAGACTGTTCTGATTCAGTCAGCAAAACATATTCATTATGGAGGATCACTGAGTGGCTTTTGTTCTATGGAATCTGGATAAGCACTCTCTTGCCTTAGAAGGAGAATTGCATCTAATTGCTACACATTTGCAGACAGCAGCAAGTACAAGTGGTGGATTTGTGAGCCTCTTTAAGTATGATTATGATTTTCTACAATTTTTTTTTAAGTTCCTTCTTCATCCCCACTGGTTCCCAACTCTTACCTTCAGGAAGTATCCTCGACTCCCAGCCACCACGGCTCCCTTTTCTCCTTCAAAGCCATCTACCATCACCACCAGGTCCACATGAGAGTATTTCTTCCTGACGGTACAATCACCCCAAATTCTCTCTACTTTATTGTCTGCATCCTAAGAGAACAAGACCAGGAGAGATACATGATTTCTTAATTCTACAAACCCATTTTTCCAAACCCTCTCCAAGAACAACTGAGCTTTTTGAGGCCATCACTTAAATGAAACATTGGGTTTCGGTCATTATGCACAATGAATAAAGAAGGAAATTTTCTACTCAGAAGTGTAAGAGTTTAGCCAAGCAATTGGGAATCACTATTTTCTAAGAGATTTAAAATATTCTCTCAGTTTATTTATTTTTACTCTTTTAGATGAATCCTTGAAAATCCTGCACAACAAGCCACCCCAGACAATCAGCTTTGCCCAGGGCACAGAGGAGAATGTAGACTTTCTTTCCTGGCTCTCATTGGTCTCAGGGCCACATGAGGGCGGGCTCAGGGCCCTGACCTCCAAAGTCTGCTCAAGCGCCAGGCCTCCCACACACCCCAGCCTGCAGCCAGTTTAACGTTCACCAGGGAATGAATGAAAGAGGCACAGATGGGCCCTGCCATGGCCGGGGTGTCTGGGAACAAAGGCTGGGCTCAGAGCAGCTTTGTGCTGGGGAAGCTCCCGCTCAGCAGGAAACTTTTATCATGCAGATTTCCCTTCAACCTGCAGCTTCTCAGCAGGGTGTGGGTGAGGGGGTTAGGTTGATTTAGCAGATCCCTCCCACAGGACTTGCTGCTACCAGGGGCAACACGCACTGGAGGACAGCAACCCTATTTAGAAGAGATTTCTGTGCCAGGAGTCTCCTCCTACCTGCTGTCTCTGCTACTTCCCAATCAGGCAAGGATCTGACTCCTGCAATGTTCAATTGGTGGGCAGAAAGAATATACAAAGAGTCTGACACAGAGAGCTAGTGTTGCACAGCTTTCCTCCGGCCCCATCCCTGCAGACAGCACAGGAAGAAAGCCTCCAAGCCTACCTCATCATTACTGATGGGCACAGAAGGGTGCAGAAGGTTCCCAATCTCTCTGAGGTTCTCAAACCTCTCTGCTTCCAGTTTTATTCTCTCTGCATCACACTTCAGGATGGCTTCGTCAATGAGGAGTCGGACTTTTTTGATTTGTGAGACTTTCAGGTTCTGTAGAAGAATAGGCCACACTTACATCCAGGACACCACGCATAGGAATAAGACGCTGGCATCCTCACTGTGCTGTCCTCTAGCCATGACAGTTCTTGTGGCAGCACTTGTTTAGTTTGTTTGCAATGATGCGGATTAAATGCACTGTCTCTCGCAACCTAGGCAAGCCCTCTACCACATCTTCTACACACGAAGATGTGGTAGCATTTTTAAAAATTGAAAATTTCACAGAGGGATATATACAATCCTGCCCTACAAATCCCCTGGCATTTTCCTTTGGGAGTGTCTAAGGTAGAGATGGAGAGATTTGGGCCACTCTTGCGGTTCCTACACATCCCAGGAGTTTTTATTGTTGTTGTTCTACTCAGTTGTACATGACAGCAGAATGCATTTCAGTTCATTGTACACACATGGAGCGCAACAATTCAATTCTCTCATTGTGTACGGTGTAGACACGCACCATTTGTGCAATTATATATGTACCTAGGGTAATGATGTCCATCTCATTTCACCATATTAGGAGTTTTAATACTATGGCTCTCCTAAGACAACTTTCCCTTTAGTTGTATTTTTGATTTTCCTGATTGAACCAATTTAGCACTCCATTATGTACATGCATTGAAGTGTTCTCCAGGAAGATTATAACTTTATTAGGAGCAAGAGACCTTGTCTTAAGCTTATTTTGCATTCCTTATTGCAGATGCTTCAAGCTGTGCTCATTTCTTGAGGGGAGTGTTTAGCAGGCTGGGCTATGCAAAAATAGGCTCCTAACCCACTCCTTTAAGCACAGCAACTTTATATATATATTTGTTATTATTTTTAAGATGTGGTCTCACCATACTGTCCAAGTTGGCCTTGAACACGAAATCCTCCCCAGGTTGCAGGCAACTGTGCTTTATTTATTTATTTATTTTTATTTGTTCTTATTAGTTATATATGATAGTAGAATGTATTTTGACATATTATACATAGAGTAAAACTTCTCATTCTTCTGGTTGTACATGATGTAGAATGACATTGGTTGTGTAATCACATATGCACATAGGATAGTAATGTCTGATTCATTCTATCATTTTTCTTATTCCCATTCCCCCTCCTTTCCCTTCATTCCCTTTTGTCTAATCCAAAGTATTTCCATTCTTCCCTCCCCTCCCCTGCTTATTGTGAGTTAGCATCTGCATATCAGAGAAAACATTTTGGCCTTTGGTTTTTTGGGATTGGCTTATTTATTTCACTTAGCATGATATTCTCCAATTCTATCCATTTACTGCAACTGCGCGTTATTACACAATTGTTTTGTGTTAAAGCTTTCAAGAAAGGATTCAGTGACCAAAACATTTGAAAATTAGTGCTCTAGGACTCATGTAGTAAATATTTACTGAATTGCAGTAAATCGAGAAATCCCTTAACTTTGTAAAATAGAGTTACCTAAATTAAACATAGTTCATTTTTTTACCCTTTCTACCCTTGACTTTCCTACTATATCTGTGTCTACCTCTGCTGTCTAATAAGTACTCAAGCATAAAGTATAACAAGAATGAATAGAGACCTTGCCCATTGTTAGGAATTGAAGGTTGCTTCAATGCTGTGTGTAATAGACTATTAGCATTTGCTATCTAGGAACGAAGTTAAAACAAAAGAACAGAGCTCCCAGCTTAGCGAAATACTATAACTTACAGCTAAAGTGTCTGCAGTGAGGTCATCAAAATTTAACACATTCTCTGGAACAGACTCATCATCTCCCACTGGCTCTTTTTTCTGCAGAAAGAAAAAAATACCCAACTCAAATAAAAGAAAATCTTTGACATTTCAGTAACGTGCATGCCAAATTAAAATATCATATGAACTAATAACAGAATATTCTACATTAAATTGTAACACACAGTATAAAAATTAGTAAATCAAAAGCCAGATGTCAAAGTTTCAAGTTCTTATTCTACTATGTCCTTTTTGATCCTGGACAAGCCAATTAACCTATTGCAGGGCAAGAGAGTTAACATCTAGACATAGAACAGTTCTGGAAATCAAAGAGAGAACATAGTTGAAATACTCAAGAATTATACGTGTGGTAGTCCAAAGCAAGCCCAGAGGGTAAATTCTTATCTATGTAGTAAGAACAATTCCCAACACTGAGGCAAGGGGGAAAATGGATGGAATGATGAAATTATGAGAGAGCCAAAGAAAACAAACAAAAAATAACAGAATCTGGGGCTGGGGTTGTGGCTCAGAGGTAGAGCGCTCGCCTAGCATGTGCGAGGCCCTGGGTTCAATCCTCAACACCACATAAAAATAAGTAAACAAAATAAAGGTATTGTGTCTAACCAAAAAATAAATAAATAACAGAATCTAGAACTAGGCTTAGAGCAGTCAATGCAATTTGACCAAACAGTAGGAGCAGAGTCAGGGCTGGTTTCCTCTCTCCTGTTTTCTCTCCTCTCTCCTTGTTCTTTTTCTTTTTTTTTTTTTTTTAAATATTTATTTATTTATTTATTTTATTTTTGGCAGACACAACATCTTTGTTTGTATGTGGTGCTGAGGATCGAACCCGGGCCGCACGCAGGCCAGGCGAGTGCGCTACCGCTTGAGCCACATCCCCAGCCCC